AGTGCGGTTTCAGGGGGGAGTAAAGAGAGGAGGAAGTCCAACATCAACACTGGTCCTTTTCAGGGGTGAGCAGAGGAACGAGAACCTTGACATCCATGTTCGATGGTTTCACATTTAACCTCTGACAGCCCCCACAGTGGTAAATGTCTTCCTCCTGTCCACTTACACAGGCTGTGGTTCTGATCACCCCTAAGGCTAAAGAAGCCTAAATGGACAGCTGTGAGGCGACACACATCTGCTGAGTTTTTTTTTTTTTTTTTGTTACCTGAAGCTGTTCAATCTGAAAGCACACGTCTCCCATTTACCCTGCAGTATATTCTCCACTTTCACTTCTCATTTCTTTTCTCTTTGAGTTATGGCGTTCCCTTTCAACTCCTCTCCAGCTCCGGTTAAACAACTTTACTGCATCATTTATTCATGAACCCGTTTGCGGCTCTGATTGGCCCGTCGTCCTGCGGTTTAAAGCTTAAAGTGTCTGAGGGGCCTCGGAGCGTATTTCTCATCTGTCTCTGCTGCCTTTGGACTGCAAGTCTGGTGTGTTTATGTGTTTCTTTTAGCATTAAGACACAAACACGGAGAGAGAGTTGAAACAAGTAAAAATGGAACCAGAGGAGGAACATGAAGAAAATGAAGAAGGCAGTTTTCAAGAGAGGGTGAAACTGGAAAAAAAAAAAATTCTCTTCCCGACTCTATTCTTTGTAATGAGATCCGAACAGCTCTGTTTGCTCTGCTGCACCTGGCTGGGGGGGAGGTGGATGTAGACCTGAGAGGCAGATGTTGACTGAGCCCTTCTCTTTATGCCGCAGTGTGTTGAATGTATGTGTTTGAAAAAAAGAATATTTAAAGATGCATGCAACCATATTGTACTGCAGGAGTTGCAGTAGTGCATCCATGTATCCGTGTGTGGGGCCGTACAGATGTGAGCGTCTATTTGCTCGACCTCATTAGCTTCCTGTTGTGTGTCTGAATGAACGAATACATGCAACCCAAGCAGAGGAAAGGCACACAGAGGGTCAACATTTTAAATTGTTAGTCTGAAGATGTTGTGTGGGATGTTAGAAGACGACACAAGAGGCAGGTTTCAAAACTTTATTATCGAAGCTCATCCAAAATAACCAAAGTTCAAGAGGACAATCTAAAAACACAGGGAGCAGGCAAAGGTTAGCCACACATTTAGGACTGAAAAAAAAAAACTGTAGGCAATGAAAGATTTCCACTAGATATTGAAAGCATAAGGTAAATTTACAAATGTCATTGTTTTCATGAACTGACTGGTATATTGGACACATAAACAGAGCTGATTGAGATTAAGTCACTGGTCAAACAGGTCACAGAGGTGCTCAAGTTACCAAAGATGGTACAGTCAGTCCATCAGGTGTTCATATATGTAAGTAAGTTAATAGTAGAACAAGTAAGAGAGCAGAAAATAAACGAATTGATTAATCCTCAAGGTAAGATCTGAGAGCAAAGCAGAAATTAAAAATTAAAAATGCTCTCATTGTTTCTACTACTCTGCTCCAGCGATAGTGGAGGCATTCTTTTTATCTTCTAACTGTTTTATTCCTTTATTGTCTTTTAATTGTCTTCTTTTACTGGGTTTTATTTTTCTTATATATTTTTATCTTGTTTTATTGTCTTTCATGCTTTATGTGCTTCACCTTCACCATTTTTTATTTATTTATTTATTTATGTATTTTTTGCTTTTCACTTCCTTTAATGTTGTTTTCCTTCCACTTGTCTTTGAATCTGTACAGCACTTTGTAACCCTGTTTTGAAAAGTGCTATATAAATAAAGTTTATTATTATTATTATATATTATTCTTTGGGGTTATCCGTACATTTGTCCGTTTCATTCCTGAGAATGAGATTGTCGTAAATGTCTGGAGACGATTTCTTCAAATTTGGCAGAAATGTTTGCTTGGACTAAAGGATGAACTGATTAGATTTGGGTATTGAAAGGTCAAACCTTAAGGTCACTCAGACCTCACTTCCATCCAATTTTCGGGAACGTGACAGACCGCAAACGCCTGAAGCATAAATGTCCTCTTGGTCTCAAAGAGTTGGTGTTGGTCAAAGGTCACTGTGAATTCACAGAATATGTTTCTCACCACGACTGGAAGAATTCATAGATTGATTTGAACTAAATTTCAACCAAACGTCTAATAATGGGGCTGCAGGGTGGTGCAGTTGGTAGCACTGTTGCCTCGCAGCAAGAAGGTTGCCGGTTTGCGTCCCGGTGGGGGCACCGGAATCTTTCTGTGTCGAGTTTCCATGTTCTCCCCGTGCAGCGTGGGTTCTCTCCGGGTTCTCCGGCTTCCTCCCACACAGTCCAAAAACATGTTGAGGTTAATTAGTGATTCTAAATTGTCCGTAGGTGTGAATGTGAGTGTGCTTGGTTGTCTGTCTCTAAGTGTAGCCCTGTGATAGACTGGTGACCTGTCCAGGTGAACCTGCCTTCACCCTGAGTCGGCTGGGATAGACTCCAGCCCCCCATGACCCTAGTGAAGATTAAGCGGTGTATAGATGATGGATGGATGGATGTCTAATAATATAAAATGTTGACAGTTTATATCCAAACGGTCAAAGATGAAGTCTGGACTGACGAGGATGTAACTGCAACTTACCTGGCTGATGGCGGCAACCATGAGGTGTTCAATTTAGGTTTTAGCCGTTTTGTGGAATTGTGGGTGCTTCAGATTGTCATCAGACGGGATGCTAAGCATGTACCAATGGGTTGTGATGTTATAGAATAGAGGCTCTAACAGGATGACACTTAGCTTCAGGAGAAGTCTCTTTTTCCTGTTTAGTTAAAAGTCTGTGTTAATTTGTGAATCGACTGATAATCTGCTCACTCAGGTCTGTTGATGTTCTCTTCCTCAAAACAAATCATCAGTATTTGTGCTTGACTGCTCTCGAATCTTGTCCTGTTCAATCTGATTCTAACTTGCTCAGTGGGTTTCCTTTTCATTACCTTTTATGTATTGGACTATTAGACCACCACAAATTGGTGCTCAGTTTGTTTTTGAGTTTAGCTCAACCGGTGCTTCGCAATGTGGCTCCAAACGGATACGACTGATAGGAGTATAACGAACTCTATTAGAAACAATAGATTTGATAGCCCCTATTTGCTGTTACTGTAACAAGTAAGCAGCTCTTAAGAGTGTATAAACAGTGTGCTGTATTTACAATGCTGGCACACACATGTCTAGATATAGCTGGGAAACCATTGTTCAGCCTCTCGAACTGAAAACTGGACGTAAACTAACAATAAAATGGCACCGTTAGGCTCTAAAAAGCAGCATCAACAAGATAAACAAAGCTGTTTGTGGCATGCATTATAAAATGGGTCAGATGCAGCGTTGACTGTGCTGAAAGCAGCAGAAGGTGTGAAGCAGAAAATAGTTTGGGAATTTGTGAATATTTTTATATTTTCATCTTGCAGTCGCTTTGGTCTCTATTATCAGCTAACACGACACTTATTTATGTTTACTGTTGTGGCATTGCAGAATGTGCATGAGAAATAATTCTTCTCATACATGCACAATAACCCAATGACTAAGAGTCACTTTGAGTGATAGAGTATAAATAGAGCAGCAGAGAGGAGAGACATACATAAAACCTCAGATTGATTTTACCATGTCAGTTAATCATTGAGCTGCCAAATAATCACCATTATGTTGAGTTGACTGAAGTGAAGGGTAAGTAGACTGACAGAATGGCCTGCAAAGGCTGTGACAATAACCAGCACAGAGATGTGGAAATGGAAAGAAAAGGAGGGAAAAGTTGGGAAGAGAAAAACTTAGTTGTCTCTGAAGCTCAGATGCAGCTATCGTCTCTGAAGCATTCATTACTGATCTAAATGCATTGCAGCAGAAATTGCCCATGGAGTTAGAATACTAATCAGCTGAAACATTCAAATCACCTGCCTAATACAGTGTAAGTCTCCTTCATGTCACCTAGAAAGCTTTGACCCATCATGACCTCTGAAGGTGTCCTGTGGTATCAGGTACCAGCATGTCAGCAGCAGATCCTCTAAGTCCAGTGAATTTAATTTAACTCATGGAGGGGTTTGCCTTGTTTCCAGTGCAAGTCTTTGCACAAATCATGTTCCTCAATCCAGTCCTGAATTTTTGTGGCATTATCTTGCTGAAAGAGGTCATTGCTAATCAGGGAATACTACCACTATAAAGGGCTGTAGGTGGTTTCTAACTATGTCTAGGTGTCTGAGTAACATCCACATGAATGCAGGACCCAAGGTTTATCTGCAGAACATTGCACAGAGCATCACCGGCTTGCCTTTATCCCATAGTGCCATCTCTTCCCCAGATAAATAGCACACTTGCATCCGCCTTTTGCACGACATATAAGAACACACGATTCATCAGACCAGGTCTCCTTCTTCTATTGCGTCATTGTTCATTCATCTAGTCATCACTGTGTAACCTTTAGACTCCTTGGTTGTTTCCTGCTTCCAACACAACAGCTGCAAGAACCTGACTTGTTCACTCGCTGCTGACTGCATCCCACACCTTGACAGATGCCACTGGAACAACACAATCAAAGTTATTCGCCTCACCTGTCAGTGGTTTTAATGTTGTGGCCAATTTGGTGTTTATGGCCCTATAAAACTCAGGTAATTAAATGTAAATACTAGCCCCAGGGTAATAACAAAATAAGTAATTTGTTACTATTTAACATGCAGAATATTAAAATGAATAGATGTTTTGTTGATTAGCACTTTTAATTGATTACCAGTTTAAAGGAGCCTGAATGGCTGTTTACATACAGGAAACAAACACACAAAGACATTATGGCCTTGTGTAAATTATAATGCAAAGGAGCTACACGGATACATTTCTTGTGTGTATATATGATGAGCAAATCAAAATTAAATAAGGTTTATTGTCATTTTGCTGCACATACACAGTAGTACAGACATGATCAGAGAGCGTTTCTTCAGGATTATTCAACCAGCAGGTTTTGTGGAATGCACGTCTGCGTTGATCCTGCCAGTAGCATATGCTCGTCTCACAGATTAAGCCATGCAAGTCTAAGTACAAACGGACGGTACAGTGAAACTGTGGATGGCTCATTAAATCAGTTATGGGTCCTTTGATCGCTCACACGTGACTTTTTCGCTGTCGCTGCCTCCTGAAGGAGCCACAGCGTCCATGTGCGCCGCCATTCGTTGAACATGGTGAACCTCTTCAGGTCCTGGTGGGTCTTCAGGGATACAAAGATACAAACACGATGGTGTGATGATGGTGAAGCTGCAGATGAAATGAAATGAAAATGAAATGAAAATGAAATGAAAAATACTTTATTTATCCCAGAAGGGAAATTCAATCTTGTAAAAGCTCACTTTTTAAAAATATTTATTTATTTATTTTTTAAATCAATATAGCATATATTCTATACAACAACAACAACAATCATTCAGTCAGTCAAATTTGTTTTTTAAGGTGATGGCTGTTGGTAGGAAGGAATTCCTGTATCTCTCTGTTCGACAGCGAAGCTGATGCAGCCTCCCACTGAACACACTCTGTTGGTTCTTCACTGTGTTGTGGAGAGGGTGAGAAGAATCCTCCATCATCTTCATCATCTTGTGCAGCATTCTTTTTTGAACAATCCGCTCCAGTGTTTCCAGAGTT